GGCTTGTAACTTGCTAAATTTGAGTTCTCAGAGTTTATATATGAGATTAAAAACTTCTTAGGATGGGCCCAAAACATTTGGAACTTACTTACAAAGGTACTCTAAGGTTTCTAATTTTAATGGGATATAAACTACAACTGAAATATATTAAAAATGAACATGTAATATTTTATGTGAACTATTTCTTATGGGACCCAGACAATATTATGAACAGAAATAATTTGTTTCATGTCAACTTTAAGGTAACTTTTAAAATCTCTAGTAATTCTTGATAATATTTAGATTCTACTTTTAGATATTTTTAATTGGCTTTTAAAAAGTGAGTATAGTAAAATACTAAGATAATAAATATTTCTGTTTATTTAAAAAATCCCATAATAATATATGGTAATTAGGGGCTGGGTTGTGGCTCAGTGGTAGAGAGCTTGCCTAGCATGTGTGAGGTACTGGGTTCGATTCTCAGCACCACATTAAAAAATAAAATAAAGTTCCCAAAATGTAGGCTCTCTGTTCACCTCATTGATTGTTTCTTTTGCTGAGAAGAAGCTTTTTAGTTTGAGTCCATCTCATTTATTAATTCTTGATTTTATTTCTTGCGCTTTAGGAGTCTTGTTAAGGAAGTCGGGGCCTAATCCAATATGATGAAGATTTGGGCCTACTTTTTCTTCCATAAGGTACAGGGTCTCTGGAATAATTCCTAGGTACTTGATCTACTTTAAGTTGAGTTTTGTGCATGATGAGAGATAGGGGTTTATTTTCATTTTGCTGCATATGGATTTCCAGTTCTCCCAGCACCAATTGTTGAAGAGGCTATCTTTTCTCCGTTGTATGTTTTTGACACCTTTGTCTGGTATGAGGTAACTGTATTTATGTGTTTGTCTCTGTGTCTTCTATTCTGTACCACTGGTCTACATGTCACACACACATCAGAACATTAATCTCCAGGATATATAAAGAACTCAAAAACCTTAACAAAAACAAAACAAAACAAAACAAAAAAAACAATTCAATCAATAAATGGGCTAAGGAGCTGAATAGACACTTCTCAGAAAATATACTAGATCTACAAATATATGAAAAAATGTTCAACATCTCAAGTAATTAGAGAAATGCAAATCAAAACTCTCTAAGATATCATCTCATGCCAGTCAGAATGACAGTTATCAAGAATACAGACAATAATAAATGTTGGCAAGGATGTGGGGGAAAAGGAACACATACTGCACGTTGAGTGCAACCAATCTGGAAAGCAGTATGGAGATTTCTTAGAAAACATGGAATGGAATCATCATTTGACCCAGCTATCCTACTCCTCAGTCTATACCCCAAAGGACTTAAAAATCAGCATACTATAGTAATGCAGTCACATCAATGTTCATAGCAGCTTAATTTACAATAGTTAAACTGTGGAAGCAAACTACATGCCCTTCACTAGATGAATGGATAAAGAAACTGTGGTATATATACATAATGAAATATTACTCAGCATTAAAAGAGAATAAAATCATGGCATTTTCAGGTAAATGGATGGAGATGGAGAATATCATGCTAAGTGAAGTAAACTAATCCCCAAAAAACAAAGGCCGAATGTTCTCTTTGATAAGTGGATGCTGATCCATAAGGGGGAGGGAGGAGGCATGTGAAAAAACTGAGGAACATTGATTAGGCAAAGGGAAGGGATGGTAGAGAGGGTGCATGGGGGCAGGAAAGATGGTGGAATAAGATGGACATCATTGCCCTAGGTATGTGTGTGACTGCACATATGGTGTGATGCTACATCGTGTACAACCAGAGATATGACAAGTTGTGCTGCAATTATGTACAATGAATCAAAATGCATTCTGCTGTCATATATACCTAATGAATAATTTAATTAAATAAATTAATAAAATAAAGATATTGTGTCCACCTATAATTAAAAAAAGAACATATAGGAATCATATATTAATAAGTATTTCTATATACTTAAAAATCATTATATATGAAAGTCTGAGATGGTGCTTGGTTTTTCCTTGGAACGAAGCTAGAATTTTGTTTTTCTTTTCAGGCATTTGGGTTCCAGTGAAATTGACTTGAAAGTAATGGGGACTCACATATTCAGGAACCAATCCCAGATGTTTGGCCAGAGGGTAATAAAGAGAAACACGTGTTTTAACAGGGCAATATATAGCATAGAACATTAAAGTCCATTACAGGGAGAAAATAAAAAGGAAAGAATTGAATCAGAAATATTAGTATGACCTAGGGAAATTTTCTTTTACTCTGTCATGAAAGATAGTTCTACTCAAATGCTTATGTGAAATAATAAAATGTACATCCCTAGCATCCTAGCTTGGTATATAATATTATTTTTCCACTTCTGAAATGATTTTAATTCCTAAATCCCTCAGGGATGCATATCTACTTTATCCTCTGACTGGGATGTGCCCACAGGCTCTTTCATTTTAGTTATGACTATGGTCAAGCCCTTTTGATGTTAAATTTATGAACAAATCTGTTTTCCTTGAGGATTAAATGGGATACATACACACACAAACACACACACACATGTACATATATACAGTATATAAAAATCAAAATATATATAAAATATATATTTTATACACAAATACATATACATATGGATATATTTTTTAAAGAAAGGTATTCCAGAGTATCAGTGTATCCTTTGTAGATTCTAGTTTCTTGGATTCTCAGATATTGTTAGAATCTGTTTTCCTTAGTGAATGTTTTAAAAATGAAACCAAATTTCATCGCATTAGAATCATCTTACATTTTTCAGGAAGAACAAGGGACAAAATTGGGTAAGTCAGAGAGAGAAAATGGCTATGCTTCAAGCAAAAGCAGCTTTTTCACCTCCAGTAAATCCCACTGAGACCTCTTTGGCACGATGAAACAGATTTCATGATTTAGACCCAACTGTATTCTTTATTTAAAGATATATCCATTAGGAAAATATTTTAATTCTTCCACATGAGGATATATTTTTTGTGGGGGGGGGCGGCAAATGAGTTACCTATTTTGAAAAAAGAATAAAAGGAATAACAATAAACTAATTTGTAAGTACCAGAAATTTGAAATAGCAAGAAATATGTAATGAAGAATCAGAAAAAGATTGTGAATATCAGAAAAATAAAACAACAGGAAACACCAAGAATAAAAGAAATGGGGGAAAGAAAAGGGGCAGGATGATGAACTGAAATTGAATTTAATGCATGTATGAATTTATCAGGATGAATCCAACTATTATGTATAACTAATAAAATAAAATACTTTTAAAATTTTAAAAAATGGGAATGGGTTGAATCTAATGCGGGCTTTAGAAATATAACTAAACTAAAGTCATTTTCAGTTCTTTTTCAATTAGTGCTATCAAGGAGTTCTTTTCAAAGAGTTCTACCAAGTGTCAAATGGCCTTCAGAGGAAGGCAAGGAGAAGACAGGCTCAGAGCCTCCCGTCCCCTACATCAGAGGGCGCTCCTTTTAACCATTTGATTTACAGAGTTTGATTTCAGATTCACATGAGAATCAGGTTAATTTTAAAAGCTTTGGCTTCATTTTTTCTTAAGATTGAAAATGACTATTATAGAGAATAAACTCATTATCTTATTATATGACACTCCTCCCAAAGTTTACCTTTATCTTGAATTCTAAAATTACAGATTATTTTTTACTTTTCTTCCACTTATATAACTGAAATAACACTGTGAACTATACCCTGTTTGGCTTCTTTCTCTCAATCTGATTTATAAGATTTAACCATTCTATTGTGCTCATTAATCATTAGTTCATTTTTATGATTGAATATAATATATTATATGCATATACCACAATTTATCCTTTCTACATTGACAGATATTTGGACTTCCTCCATTTTGATCATTATAAATAAAGCTTCTATGAATGTAAAAAAAAAAAGAATAAAAGACACTATGAAGAAAAAGTCAGAGTTAAAGCAGAAAAATAATGCTATAAGAATTTTTTAAAATTATAAAGTACTTTAAAGACAAAGTCCTTAAGGGTGGATGAAGAACTTCCCAGAATAATCATCAGGATCTGAATAATAAACTAAAATAGTCCTTTTGATACATTGTAAAGTATGCAATTTTAATTATGTGATTTTTCTAGCTAATTTCTGCTTCAAAAACAGAAAGTACTTCTGCTTACAAGGTGGCAGAGACAAGAACTTTTCTAAACCTCTCATATGCACGTTGTCATCAAAATTTAAATTACCAGAAACATGCCTTTTAGTTAAATTACAATTAGCCCTCAGACAGATCTATTTACTGAGAACCCACTATGTGCCAAACTCTGTTGGCATATACTAAACAACAGTTTGCGTTTGTAAAGCACTTTTTCCTTTTCAGGTTTTCACAAATAACATTTTAAAACAAACTGTATTTGTTTTTCTGCATTAACTGCACATGCTGAATACATCTATTATTATTAATTGTTCTTACTCAGGAGAATCTTATTTTTAAAATCTGCAAAATATATCCAATTGTATTTGCATATAACATATATTTTTCATCAGTTATGTATGGAAGTCAATCAACCACTATAAATACAAACAGATTGTCTAACAAAATAAAACAACAGTTTTGGGGGAATGGAAATGGCACACTTGTCAGAAGATGTCCACAAATAATTAATTACTTTAGCACATTAAAGATATTCTCTTAGTATCAGAGCCTCTTCTAAGAGGGTACTCATTACTTCCTAACCATCTGTCATCACTCCTCCCCAAAAAACTAATTAGGCTTTCATCCAATCACACAATATAAATGATGCAAATATGAATGGTCAAAGCACAGTTTAAAGAAGTTAATAAAACATTTTGTTTAAAAATCATGGACTGCAGAACTAGTCTTCATAATAATTAAAATGCTTATTTTTCCCATTTTTAAATTATTAGATATTGAACTTGGAAAATTAAAATATAATTTAAAAACCAAAACCACACATACACACACACACACACACACACACACAAATACTTACAGGTAGTAGAGTTTTCCTGCAGCTGGGAGTTCCCTTTTCCGGTAATCTATCCCAGAATCTAGCTGAACTGTATTACAGTATTCCTGCAACCCAAAAACAGAAAAAAATTTTTTAAATAAGTAGTGGCTCAGAATTATAAGCTTTCTGCTAAACTATATATATTCTTAATTTTTGAAATGTTTCAATGAAATAATGAGCTTAGGACAAAACAATAAAATTCATGTAAAATTCACAAAATTAAAGTTGCAATATTAAACATATATAAAGCCAGTAAAATAATAGTTAAAAAAAAATCAAGATTTGCACTATGTTTTACTGAAACTTTGCCAAAAATAGCACTGTCAGCAAATTTCCCAAATAACTACATTAAGGTGAAAGGAAATATACCCTAATATCCATTAATCTGAAACGAAAAGCTGGAGAAAGTATAACTTGTGACTCTTAAGCACAACAAATTTGAAAAATGCAGTTTTTCATTAATAATAGCGGTGAAGTTGTTAAAACATAATTTTTCCTCATAAATTTTCATAAAGCAATTTTCATTTTTAATCCAAACTAAAAAATCAGCCTATAAATTTTTTCTTGATTTGTCCAAAAAACCTTGGGTCACCACTCTTCTGGAATAAATGTGTGTGTGTGTGTGTATCTACACAGCCCCCAAATCCAACTGATCAAGGTATGACAGCAAAAGTTCGTTGGTTGTTATGAGTTTTGGTGTATGTGTGTGTGTATTTTTGTGCACTTATGCACCTTGGAAGATGGAAAACAAAGGATTAATAAAGAAAGGACATTAGTTACACAGGATGACTCAGGCTGAAAGGAAGCATCTGCAGTAGGAAAGGACACTGAAAACTTTGATGGAGCAAAGAAAACTAAAGGACAAGGGCGGCAGCAGCTGTTTAGGAGTGTAATTTTGGGGTCCAAGATAATTGTGTCAAATAGTAGTTTCCAAAGACAGATGGAGATAGCAACCCTCCACCCTAGCCTATTCTTCTTACAATGGGATATTGATATTCCAATCAAAATGAAGTGGGCTCCATGCTCTGCCCTTGAATCTTACGGCTAAAGATTGGTGTAAATGATGCTATGCAACAATAACTGATGTGACATTTGAAGCAGCTTTTTACTTGTTGGCTGGAATACTTCTGGACTCCTGAAGTGCCAGCATCTAACTCCCTAGAGGCCCCTAAACCATGAGAAGCTTAAGTTTCCATACAGAGAAAGGTCGTGGAGAGGGCCTGAGATTACATAAAGACAAAGGTGTCGATCAGTCAGTCCCCAGCTATTTAGGCTACAGTGACTATTGTACTGAGAGAACTGCCAGCTGAGCCCTCCCCAATTCCCTGACCTATAGAAACCAAGATAGACAATAAGTAATACTGTTTTAAGCCTCTAAATGTTGCAGGAATTTATTTATTTATTTTATTTGTTTGTTTTGAGTGCCAGGGATTCAACTCAGGGGTAGTCAACCACTGAACCACATCCGTAGCCCTATTTTGTATTTTATTTAGAGACAGGGTCTCACTGAGTTGCTTAGTGCCTCGCCATTGCTGAGGCTGGATTTGAACTCATAATCCTCCTGCCTCAGCCTCCCAAGCTGCTAGTAATACAGGCATGCACCACCACACCCTGTACAGGTATTTATTATGCAACAATAGATTATCAGACTAGTAACGTGGGGGCACACTTGAGAAGTAGCAACATTCTTCCTCCCTGAAATTCTCTCCTGGGTTGCACTGCTATGTCAGGCCTCTTTATCACCAGCACTCCAGAGAGAAGACTGCACAGAGTGACAATGAAAAAGTATTTCCTCTCCTCTCATGCTACAGCTGCTGAGGGACTCTGGGAACTGAAAGAAGGAGACCAACCATCCCCTTTGGACTGAGGAGTTTCCCCAAGATGGAGGATGTTTCAGGACTCAGAACTTACAGTACTAACATTAGGAAGTCCTGGGCAATCTGGGCCAGTTGGTCACCATAAGAATGAAGACCCAGGAAACTGGGCTGGAAGGCATAAAGTATATATTGCATTTTGATATATCCATTTGAATTTCCTTATTATAAAAAATTCCCCCAAGAAGCCAGTCCTCTAAGGAAGCCTACAAAGTTAAGCTTTTCTACCATACATTTGAAGAACAACCCCTAAACTTACCAAATGCAAGGCTCCTTATACTGCTTGGCCTGAGCAGCCAGACACCCCTGATTCATTGTTCCAAGTTGTTCAACCCTCCCTCCCCACTGGCCTTACTTTAAGTACCTATAGAGGTCGGTTGAGCTCTATAACCCATCCCACCAGAAAGGAATACAGCATTCCAAATACATGCGTTCCACCCTCCTCTTACTTCATATGACCTGTGTTAAAAGAAGTTATTGTCAGATCTCCTTTTCAACTTTGATCAACCTGAGGAAAGATATGCCTTCCCTCTCCTATGATGGTGGGGGCTCAATGAGCCAGCCCCCCCAAAAGAAGAAGAAGAAGAAGAAGTAGTAGTAGTAGTAGTAGTAGTACTTGTTTAGGAAGTAAGTCATACTCTTAGGGAAATCTGCCCCATGTGGTAGGTAAGGGCCAGTTATTCACATGCTACCCTATATTATAGACAAAACAGTTCAAAGAACATCAATGTAGTCATACAAATGTATTTGCCCAAGTTCTCTATTTCTTTTAAACCAAAATTTATCTTAGATGACTCCACATTCCTAATTTAGTAAAAAAGAAATTTCCTATTTTAAAAAAAGGCTAATGGAAGTTATACAAGCTTCAATTTCTTTTTCTGCGTAACTAACTTCTGGGACATGAGTGATTAAGCCCTAACAAATGATTGCATTTGTACATTCACTAATCACCACTGAGGAATACCTAATCAGCAGCAAAAGAACTATAACCAAAGCCCTTAGATGTTAGCTCTTAATTGTCTGAAAAATACTAACACCCAGTTTATCTTTTTAAAGAAAAATAAATCTCAGATATTCAGAGTTTATTCACAGCCTAGATGCATCAATACATTTGCAGAAGGGTAGAAGAGGGTGAAAGCTAGCCTATTTCCAAGTAGAGAATAAATCTAATGGGTCTGATCTCTAAGTAATTTCCTAGTATATTTACAAAACCTGTGACCCTCCATACCACTATCCAATTCTAATGTGTGACACCATAACACTAATCAGCCATGAAATGAATTTATTTTAAAATAGTTTGTACATGCATACAAAGGACAAATACAAATACATATTCTGGATATGCAATTAGGAAATTTGGGGAATACAAGGAAAGAAGTTGACCCACCCTTGTGAGCCTTTGACTTTGGAAAGAAAATGTATGACTAAAAGAAATGCATTACAGCAACTTATACTATCCTCAAATCTACTGTATGTGTTGTTAGCAATCCTGAATAATATTCTAAGAAAAACAAAAGCCACCTCACACAATAACTTTATATAGTTTCTAATCCATTTCCAGTTTGAAGAATAATAAACATTGTGAAGAAAATCCTTTAAAGTCACAACATATTAACCTCTTAAGCACAGACTGTAAAGAGCTCTATTTCTCATGTAGGTATTAGTGGTTCATTCATGTCCACCTTGCTGCACTCAGTTTAAGCAAGAATATCCCCCATCCTCATCTAATCAAGTACTTCATTCCTCACCTCTGCTCTCTCAGTCCTTGGTCTATCTTTAGCAAGAATCCTGTCCAACTGATTTAGCAAGAATCTTTATAGCCTTGTTGTCTCATCTTAAGAATTTTCCATTCACTGACACCCATACTCTGCTAATGGCTATAAAATAACCTATATATTGTTAAATGTGAAATTGAGCTCATTTTTCTAGCCTACTTCAAAAACCATGATTCTTATTGTAGTAATCTTCAATAAAGGCTTCCCTAGTTCTTAAATAAGCATTAAAATAATTTTTCTTAAATAATTCCTGAAGCACTGATTCAGTGGGTCCTTACCTCATAGACCTGTTATCTATCAACTCCGTTGGCATAGCCTGAGTTTGCCCCTATGACAATTCCATCTCTCTGTTAACTCTGGGTACTCAGACTTTTGAATACTTTCAAAATTAAGCTTGTCATTCACTTTTTTTTTACATGTCCTATTCAAAGCTTGATCATTCACTTTTATTCCTTCATCTAGTTTAAAACAAAAACCATTTAATAATTGTTGTTGATGGGGTTTTTTGATTGTTTGTTTTTCAAGGGCCAAGGACTAAACTCAGGGCCTTGCTCATACTAGGCAAGCGCTTTGTCACTGAGCTAAATCCCCAAGCCCCCATTTAATAATATTTCCTAAACTCCCTTGTGGATCTCTACAATTCCCTTTTTCAAACCTATACCTTCCTCTTACTAGCATCTTCAACTAGTACTTGCCCAGAGCAAAAGGCCCATCAAGTTATTAGTGTCCTCTCTGCCCACTCCAGAAAAGATCTCCCTTTCTGATGGTTTCCCTCTCTGGGCAACTGTTTTCTCCTATTCATGTTCAGCATATAGAACAGTTTAGTTTTAGCTTGAGAAGAGTACACCTCATCATTTCATCATGACTTGTGAAAAAGAAAGTTTTAGATCACAACCAAAGCAAAAGAATAACATCAGTATTTTGAAGATAGACAAGTGAGCAGTCACTATTTGTTAAGATGTTTCCTCTAATGTATGCTATAGTTAGAAAATATGGGCTGATAGATCCAAGCCCTGGCATCTAAGGGTAAGATCACAAATATCCTCATTTCTGAATGAAGCAGGGGAAAAAAAAAGTATCCAAATGAGATAAAAGTTTAGAAATATATAGAGAAAACTGAGTTCCTAAAGGAGAAAATGTCCCTTTTGGAATGTAGGTCCCATGGCTTGTGAACAACTTGTGAGCTGGACAAAGGAGCCTAAGAGATGGAAAGAGACAAAAAAGGTAAGAACATATGAAGAGCCAATAAATTACTCTGGAACTTTCCAGTTCCCTATAAATTTTCTGGAATGTAGCAAAGCAGGAACAAGACCTCAATAGAAATAGACCATCAACTGCATGAAGCTAGAGGCCAACATCTGACTGGACCATGACCCTCTGGCCTGACCATCTGATCAACCACCAGACTTACTATAC